GTCCCCCCCCAAGCCAACTACTTGACCTTTCCACCACCCAAGCTACCTTGGCTGTTGGAGGCACCTCAAACCCTCAATGCACCTTCCTTTTTCCTTTCTTTCCCCACCCCCTGCCCAACCCCTCTTCCCCCCTGTTCTCCCCCTTCCCCGCAGCTAGCAACGCTCCAGCTCGCCTTCAACCCCTTCACACCAGCGCCCCTGCCCCCCTCCATCCCCCGCCTCACCTCCCTCGTTCTCCTTCTTGACCTCTCCGCCACCAAACCCCCAACACACCTTCCATTCCCCTTTCTTCTTCCACCCCCCGCCCCCTCCCTCCCTTCCACCCTGTTCTCCCCCTTCCCCGCAGCTAGCAACGCTCCAGCTCGCCTTCAACCCCTTCACACCCGCACCTTTCCCTCCCTCCATCCCTCACCTCACCTCCCTTGTCCTCGTCCTTGACCTCTCCGCCACCAACCTGCAAGGGCCCCTTCCCGACCTCTCTGCTCTCGCTGGCGTATCCGATCTGCTTCTTGATTTCAACAGCTTGGATGGGCCGTTGGATCCCAAGTACTTGCCATCTGGACGGCTAGGATTCTTCTCAGGTGAGTACACGCCCATAGCCATCACCAACCCCCAGGGTCCCCTTCCCGTTCTCTCTGCTCTTGTCGTTGTCTCCGATCTGCTCCTCGATTTCAATGGCCTTGAGGAACCCTTGGATCCCAATCGGGTTGACTTTTGAGTCGACTCAAAAGTCAACCCTTCCCCTACTCTCTGCTCTTGTCGTTGTCTCCGATCTGCTCCTCGATTTCAATGGCCTTGAGGGACCCTTGGATCCCAAACTTGTGCCCTTTTGGGCAGCTGGTGATAAAAGTGTTGTTTTGAGACGTCTCAAAACAACACTTGTTGCCCAATCTTTTGAGACGTCTCAAACAACACTTTTATCACGTGCCCAATCTTTTGCCCTTTGGACAGCTGGTTCGTTCCTCGTACTCCCCTTTCCGTTCTCACTCGTCCTGCCACTCCAAGCACCACACACAGTTGAGGTAGAGGGTGACAGATGAAGGCTGATGGGGCCGTTCTCCTTCTTGGGCCGCATCAGCCTGCATCTGTCACCCTCTCTCTCTGCACTCACAATCTGTCCCACCTTTCCCATTTACACACACTCCCACTCCTCTCTCCCAACTTTCCAACCATGCAGCCCACAGAAACGACTTTTCAGGCCCCATCAGCCCACACCAGGCCATGCCCCTCGCATCCCTTTGCTGTCCCCTGTCTTCTCCATCCTTCCCCTCATATCTCTGCTCTCCTGCCCCCTCTCCTCCAACCACGCAGCACACAGCAACAACTTTTCCGGCCCCATCAGCCCCCACCTGGCCATCCCCCTGGCGTCGCCCATATTCTCCATCCTCGACTCGGGACTCATCCTCGCCAACAATTCCTTTTCGGGCAGCCTGCCGGGCAGCCTGGGCGGGCTGGTGCAGGCGTACGTGGTTGACGTGTCGCACAACCATTTGTCGGGCCGCATCCCTCTTTCCTTCGGCACTCTGTACCAAGTAGGTCCGTAGGTCCGTTCAGCCAAGCAGGTTGTAAAAACAAGTCAACAGTTGCTTCTAATCCCTTTTAATCCCTTCTTTCAACCACCTGTACAAGGTACTTCATGGGTGGCGAGGTGACTTTTGAGTCGACTCAAAAGTCAAAAGTCACCTCTTCTTTTGAGTCGACTCAAAAGTCACCTAATCCTTTCTTCCAACCACCTGTACAAGGTACTTCATGGGTTGGCGCAAACGTCCTTCCTTTATGGCACCTCGAGTGTCACCCATCTTTTCATCTCACCGCGCGCCCCTTTCATTCTGTTAACCTTCCTTCCTATCTCGCAGCCCCCCCACTTCCTATCTCGCAGCCCCCCCACTTCCTATCTCGCAGCCCCCCCACTTCCTATCTCGCAGCCCCCCCACTTCCTCCTCAACAGCCACGCATTCACGCGTGCCATGCTAGTTCTGTTGAATTGAGCATCTTTCAGCTCTCCCCACTGCCTCGTCCAATCCCTAAACCCTTTCTAGTTTTGAGGCGCCTCAAAACTAGCCCCCCCACTTCCCCCTCAACAGCCACGCATTCACCCCTGCCATGCCAGTTCTGTTGAATTGAGAATCTTTCAGCTCTCCCCACTGCCTCGTCCAATCCCTAAACCCTTTCGCTCTCTTCTCTCTCGCAGCTCACCCGCTTCCTCCTCAACGCCAATGCATTCACCGGCGCCATCCCCAGCGGGCCGGTAGCCACCAGGCTCTGCCTGTTACGGCTCCTGACGCCTTGCCCACCCCCTTCTATGCACCACTTCTCTCGCTTCTTGCAGCTCACCCGCTTCCTCCTCAACGCCAATGCAGTCACCGGCGCCATCCCCAGCGAGATGGGCATTGCCGCCTCGATTGGTCTTCTGCGTGTTATGGCGTGTCAATGGACAATGCCTTTCCCGCCCCCTTTCGTGCTCCACTCCCCTTCCTCACCTTCCCTCTCACAGCTCACCCGCATCCTCCTCAACGGCAATGCATTCACCGGCGCCATCCCCAGCGAGCTGGGCATTGCTACTGGCCTGAGGGTGTTACCCCTCATGCCTTGTTCAACCCCTTTCCTTCTCCTCACCAACCCCCTCCCTCTTTCCTTCTTGCAGCTCACCCGCTTCCTCCTCAATGGCAATGCATTCACCGGCGCCATCCCCACCGAGCTGGGCATTGCTACTGGTCTCAGGGTGTTACGGCTGGCTGGTAACCGCCTCTCCGGCACCATCCCTGCCACATTCACCGCCCTGACGCGGCTTCAGGTTCGACACATGTTCCTGAAATCCCATTTTTCTCAAGTTTATGGACGTCTCGTCACATTCTTCTTTGTTCGTCTATCCCATTCAGCCAGAAACTGGACATCAGCCAGAACCATTGTGGAAAACCTTACTTCTGCCAATTACTTAGTCGTGAAACCAATTACTTCTGCCCCCTGTCTCTCCTAACCAGGAACTCGACCTGAGCCGAAACCACCTCGTTGCTTCCCTCCCAGACCTCTCCACCTCCCTGCACCGCCTCACACTCCTCAATACCTCTCGCAACTTCCTCTCAGGTCTCCTCCCCTCCCACCTCCCTCCCTTTCTCCTCTCCCTTGACCTTTCCAAAAACTTTTTCTCGGGCAGCCTGCCCGGAACGTCTGATTGGCTGCCTAGAAATGCAACTGCCCGGTTGCATGGGAATTGCCTGCAGCTGCCATCCTGCCCTGTGCCTCCGAACCTGAGGTTCAGCCTTGGTGCGAAGGTGGGAGACAGCTTCAGGCCAAACCTGGGAGCTGGGTCGGCGTGCTGGCTGGCGAGGCAGCGCTCTGAGAGGCAGTGTGCTGCGTTCTGTGGAGCCAATGAAAGTGTGCCACGTGTCTGCAGGTGAGAACCTGAGAGAAGGAGAGGGAGAGGAGGGAGAGGGAGAAGGAGAGAGAGAGAGAGAGAGAGAGAGAGAGAAGGGATGTGTGTGGATGTGAGTTGTGAGAGATGCATTCATGCATTCAACTGGTCATGCATGCAATGACGTGGGCATGGATGCAATTAGATGGACATGCATGCATGTAGTCCCATAGGCATGCATGTAATCAGATCAGATGGACATGCATGCAATCACGTGAGCATGCATGCAATCAAATGGACATGCATGCAATCAGGGGGATACGCATGCATACATGTCTGGATATTGCATATGTTCAGTTCCTCTTTACTTTCCTAACTGCTCCTCACCTCTCCATTATCGTTTCTCCCCTCCCCCATGCACTACAGTGGTCGTGGTTACTGCGTTCCCTCCTCTTCCACGCAAAGAAGGTTGACGGGAATTGCATTTCACTGCACCAACAGAGGCAGCAGCAACAGCAGCGGCAGCAGCAATGGCAGCAGCAACAGCAGCAGCGACAGTAGCAGTAATGGCACCACTGGTAGCAGCAAGAACAGCAGTAAGAGTGGGAAAGAAGAGGGTGCAGGAGGCACAGACGACAATAAGCTTGGTTCCACCTACAGATTCCCCCCTCCATCTGCATTAGACAGCAAACGCAGCAAGTCCACACTTTCTGTAGATATGAGCACTATGTCTCTTAAAGAGATTGCCTTTAAGAGGGATGCTTTGCTGCAGCAGTCGAGGCAGTGGCTGGGGGATGTGAGGATCCGTGGGAGCAAGGGAGGAGGGGAGGGTGCGGGGAGAGGAGAGGGGGAAGGAAGAAGGGTAGGAGGGAAGGATGTGAGAAAGTGGGTTGAGAGGATACGGCAGTTGGTTAGGAAAGAAGGGAAGATCTAGAGTATGGCTTCCTACCAGTATTCCTGTGACCTTTGTCCACAATAACTTATGTTTTGAGAGGTCTCAAAAGTAGGGAAGATCTGGAGTACGGTTCTTATTCCTGTGACCTTTGTCCACAACAACTTGAAAACCAGTATGCAGTGAATGCGTATAAAACACCTAGTTGCAATCTTGGTTTTACACCTAGTTGCAATCTTGGTTTTACACCTAATTGCAATCTTGGGAGAGTTCCTGTCACAGCACATGATCTGTGGCGAAAATAGTCTGGTAGCACCGCTTGAATGCATCAAGAAATGCCACAATCACAAACAAAAGGAAAGCAAGAATGTACGGTACAATATATACATGATCATGGGCGTCGCTTCCCAAACGCATCATCTGCGAGAACCTATACCAGCAACACCACTCACTCCCAGCATCTCATCCCATGCACTAAGGGAACAAAAGGCACACACACCCACTCTGACGCTACAACACAACCTCCCAACCAACCCATCCCCCTCATTCATGCTTGAACATAGCAGTCCGCTTTTCCAGAAACGCTTGCACGCCTTCCTTCTGGTCGGCGAGGGCGAAGGAGGAGAGGAAGAGTGCCCGCTCCTCAGCCAGCCCTTCAGCCAGCGACCTGGTGAAGGCCGCATTGACGCTCTGCTTGGCCTCTCTCCCCCCGTCTCTCAGTCCGCACCGATCCCCAGCACCAAGCCACAACACTTGTCATTCATGCTTGAAACGAGCAGCCCGCTTCTCAAGGAAAGCCTCCATGCCTTCCTTCTGGTCGGCGAGGGCAAAGCAGGAGAGGAAGAGTGCCCGCTCCTCCGCCAGCCCTTGAGCCAGCGACCCGTTGAAAGCCGCGTTGACGCTCTGCTTTGCCATGGCCACTGCTGGCTGGGACAGCGCTGCTATCTTGGTGGCTGTTGCGATGGCTGCTTTCACTAGGTCTTCCTGTGGGCCTGGGATCTTGGGAGGAAAGGAGGGGACATGAGGGGGAAACAAGAGCAATACAAGGGGAATGCACGCATATTGGCATTCTCAGGCCTCTGCCAGCCCTTCAGCCAGCCCTTCAGCCAGCCCTTTAGCCAGCCCTTTAGCCAGCGACCCGGTGAAAGCCGCGCTGACGCTCTGCTTGGCCATCGCTACTGCCGGTTGCGACCGCGCTGCTATCTTGGCAGCTGTTGCGATGGCTGCTTTCACTAGCTCCTCTGGTGGGCCTGGGCTGGGATCTGGGGAACGTGACGGGAAAACGAGGGGTGAACAAGGGGAATGCCGGGGGGAATGCATTCATGTTGGTGAAGGCAACGTTGACGCTCTGCTTGGCCATGGCCACGGCTGGTTGCAACAGCGCTGCAATCTTGGCAGCTGTTGCCATGGCTGCTTTCAATAGGTCCTCTTGTGGACCTGGGATCTGGGTAACGTGAGGGTTGTGCAAGGGGGGTGTGAGGGGGAAACGAAGGGTAAAAAAGCCTGCAGGCTTATATTCAACACAAGCCTATTCAATACAAGCACAACTCACCACTTGGCTGACCAGCCCAGCCTGCACTGCCTCCTGTGCATCCATAAAGAACTCCCCCGTCAGAATCATCTCCATGGCTCTTTTCTTCCGCAGATCCCATACAAGCCCACTCAGTATAGCATGCTACTCGCAGCCTACTCACCACTCGGCTGACAAGCCCAGCCTGTGCAGCCTCTTCTGCATCCATAAAGAACTCCCCTGTCAGAATCATCTCCATGGCTCGCGCCTTGCCCACCGCGCGAGTGAGACGCTGCGTGCCGCCCATCCCGGGAATGACCCCCAGCTTCACCTCCGGCTGACCGAACACGGCTTTTTCGCCGGCTAGAATGATGTCACACATCATTGCCAGCTCGCACCCGCCACCCAAGGCATAGCTGGAGAAAGAAAGCGGGACAGACAGAGAGGGGTGGGACGAGGGAGTGCGTGAGAGGGCAAAAGGGGGTAGCTTCACCTCTGGCTGCCCAAACACGGCCTTCTCGCCCGCCAGGATGATGTCGCACATCATTGCCAGCTCACACCTGCCGCCCAGTGCGTAGCTGAAACGAGACAAAAGGAGGGAGGAAGGTGGGGGAAAGAGAGGGGGGGGAAGGAGGGGGTGTGCGCCGCCTATGACTCCCACATTCACCTCGGGGTGGTTTGAACATGGCCTTTCAACCAGCCAGGATGATGTCACACATCATCGCCAGCTCACACCCGCCGCCCAAGGCATAGCTGAGGAAAGCTATAAGGGGAGGGGCGGAAGGTTGGAGGGGGATGAGCGGCGGGAAGGGGTAGGCACGGCGTGGGTAGCTTCAACTGAGGCTGCCCGAACACAGCCTTTTGTCCGGCTAAGACAATGCCACACACCATTGCCAGCTTGCACCCGCCACCCAGTGCGTACCTGGGGCCAAATTAGATTGAAAGGGATGTACATATAAAAAAAGGATGTGACCCTCCTCCCTGCACTTCTGCCCCCCTAGCGAGTCGCTCTTAGCCCTTTCCTCCCTTCCTCCCTTCCTCCCTTCCTCCCTTCCTCCCTTCCTCCCTTCCTCCCTTCCTCCCTTCCTCCCTTCCTCCCTTCCTCCCTTCCTGCGCACCTGCCCGCTCACCTTACGACTCACCCATTGACAGCAGCGATGACAGGCTTCTTCAGCCGTCTCATTTCATCCCACTGCGAAAGCAGGTCCCCCTGGAGAGCAGCAGCGACGGCCAGCGGCGCCATCTCTGCAATGTGCCGGCTACGGTGGTCAGGAAAGTCTTACTCACCCATTGACAGCAGCGATGACAGGCTTCTTCACACGTCGCATGTCGTCCCACTGCCCCAGCAAGTCGCCCTTGAGAGCAGCAGCGAAGGTCAGCGGCGCCATCTCCGCTATGTCCGCCCCGGCTGCAAACGCGCGCCCCTCGCCCGTCACCACCGTCGCCCCCACCTGCGGCAGGGTGTTTGTAACGCGTACAGCACATGCGGAAACAAGGGCAGTGGGTGCCTTGAGTGCACGACCTTACACGAGCCATGCACGTGCCATATGCGTGCGAGGCGAGCCATGCACGTGCCATATGCGTGCGAGGCGAGCCATGCACGTGCCATATGCGTGCGAGGCGAGCCATGCACGTGCCATATGCGTGCGAGCCATGCACGTGCTGCTACACATGTGCCAAATACGCCCTCCCTACGTGCGCCGAGTCTTCCTGGTCCATCTACTTGAGAGCAGAAACCAAGTTTGGCGCGCCCCTGAGCAGCAGCAGCGAAGTTCAAGGTCAAGCACGCCCTTGCATACCCCCTCCCTCACATACCGTCCCCCTCCATTCCCATCCCCCCCCCTCTCCTTCCGCACTCACCGAGTCCTTCTGGTCCATCCACTTGAGCGCAGATACCACCTCCCCCATAACCGCCTGCGACAGTGCGTTCAGTGCTTTCGGCCGTGCCAGGGTAATTAACCCAACCTGCCCGTCCGCCACAAGCTCCACCCGGATATTCTGGAAAACGCCTCCCCCAGGTGGTGCCTCCCCCGCGCCAGCTCCGCCGGGGGACGCCTCCACCGCAGAGCCGCTTCCCCCGCCGCTGCTTCCCGCGCTGCTGCTGATTTGGCGGGCGAGATGTAGCCAGGCGTCACGGTACGGGGAAGGAAGGGGAGGAGGGGAGTTACGGTAGGGGGAGCGCGCGGGTCGGAGGACGGAAGGGGCGGAAAGGGCGGAAGCGGAAGAAGGGACGAATGGGACGGAGAGGAAAGACAGAGCGGAAGACGCGTTTGGGGAGGGGACAGAGGACGCTGGGAGGAGAGCGGAAACGGTTGAGCGGAGCCATGGTTGGCGGGGGGGGCAGGGGGAAGATGCAGCGGCGGAAGCGGGGAGCGGGTGGAAGGGGAGAGGCGGGGTGGAGGGCGGAAGGAGCGCGGGTGTGGGCGTGGATGAAGTGAGGGAAGGCTGGGCGAGGAAGGGTTGTAGAGCGACAAGGCGAGACGTCGCTCCGCGCATTCTTGGGACACAACGAGCCATGGCGGCAGACAACAATCACGAAGCTACTATGCGTATGTGAGAACAATTGCATATTATTCTTTTAGTTTTAAACGTCGAGCGAAGAACAGCTCTCGTAGCTCAGTTGGTTAGAGCGTATGGCTGTTAACCATAAGGTCGGTGGTTCAAGCCCACCTGGGAGCGATTTTTTGTTTTGCATTTTTTGCGTTTCTGAGTGGAATGTGACCTGGTGTCGGTTTGACACGACCTGAACTGACCCACTACAAGCTCGGCTGAAACGTGAAGACTACCAGCTGTATTGCCGCTACTGAACCACCCTCACTTCCACCTCGATGAATACGCCCTCAGTTGCAGAAAGAACCATTTGGTAACGATTGAGCGACCTCTCGATTTCCTGCATCATTCCCGAGACCCTCGAGATTATCGCTAATATTACATCTCGGAATTCTGCTGTTCCGCCAAGGACTGATCCGATTTTGGACACGGGACGGATCTTTTTTCTCTCCGCTCCCCGCCGACCACGGAAACGAGTCTCGGGAATTTGAACGGGGGGTCTGGGATTGCCTCCGGTTGTAGAGACGAGGGGTCGTTTGGCATTTCCTAGATTCCGCTTTGGACGCTTCCGCTGCGGTTTGCCATTCGACTTAGATCGGCAGGAGGGAGTAGATCGCGGCCATGGGGATCGTGGAGGATTTCAGATCTGTGACGTCGACATTCTATAACGAGTACAGCAAAACACCAGTCAAACTCAAGGTCCGATATTTTGTGTGGTGTTAGAAATCAGGGGGTTGTGGCGTTACAGGTTGTGGCACCGGCGGATGTTCTATCAGTGCTTCAAGACACAATCGCGATTATGGAAGAAATAAATTGAGATAACTGTGCAGATTCTGCGTGGATGCGTGAAGCATTCATGGCGGTGCCGCTGTTGCATTCACGATCGGCCGCGCATACCTTCCCCAGCAAATTTATTTTTGTTATCAATGTTGTATCGTGTCATTAGACTTTCTTTTCCTGTCGCCGACTCCAACTTCACCCAGAGAAAGAGTCGAAAAAATCACGTTTCGTTCTGTTCACTTTTGGTCCTCTCTTACCTGTTTCTAAATGTCCGCGAAACCATACAGGCCCTGGATCTGCTCGTGGTCTACGCGCTTCTGACGGCTGGGATTCAGGTATGCACCACATGCTGTCCATGTCCACGTGCCGTCCATGTCCACGTGCCGTTCATGTCCACGTGCCGTTCATCTCCACGTGCCGTTCATGTCCACGTGTCGGCCACAGCCGTGTTCACGTGTCGTCTATGTCCTGTCGTCCCTTCCCCCACCACTCACCAGTGCACGTATAAAGCTCGCTCAGTGCACCTTGCTCACCTCCCACCACTAAACATGAATGTTCACCCCTTTCCCCTCCCCATCAACTCCCACTCCTCCCCCCCTTCCTCGCCCATCAGTCACACAGTTCGCGTACATGGCCCTGGTGCGGTTGTTCCCACTTCAAAATGTATTCAGTTAACTTCTTTTCGCCAACTTCACACTCCTCCCCTTCCTTTCCCCTCCTCGTCCCCTCCCTTTCCCCTCACCCACCCACCTTTTCTTCCCCACCCCCTCTCCACCTTTACCGCGCGCCAATCGCGCAGTTCGCGTACATAGCGCCGGCGGGGTCGTAGTCAACTGTAAACTAACTCAGCACTCCCTTCCTTCCCCCTTTCTTTCCCTCTTTTCGCACTCTCCGCACACCTCCCCCCGAGTCCTCCGCCCGCAATCGCGCAGTTCGCGTATATGGCGCTGGTGGGGTCGTTCCCCTTCAACGCCTGTAGTCAACTCTGATGCTTTCTTCCCCCTTCCCCTTTCCCCCTGTCCCCCTCCTCCGCCCGCAATCGCGCAGTTCGCGTACATGGCGCTGGTGGGGTCGTTCCCCTTCAACGCCTGTAGTCAACTCTGATGCTTTCTTCCCCCTTCCCCTTTCCCCCTGTCCCCCTCCTCCGCCCGCAATCGCGCAGTTCGCGTACATGGCGCTGGTGGGGTCGTTCCCCTTCAACGCCTGTAGTCAACTCTAAAGCTTTCTTCCCCCTTCCCCTTTCCCCCGTCCCCTTTCCCCGCGCGCCAATCGCGCAGTTCGCGTACATGGCGCTGGTGGGGTCGTTCCCCTTCAACGCCTTCCTCGCGGGCCTGCTCTCCTGTATCGGGACCGCCGTGCTTGCAGGTATGCGCGAACCTAGCATGCACTCGCGTCCTCACGTCGTTTACTCTTGAATGACTTTACCCTGCTTCGAGTTCAACCATCAATGCCTTCCTGATGCCCTCTCCAGGTGACTTTTGAGTTGACTCAAAAGTCACCCTGCTTCGAGTTCAACCATAAATGCCTTCCTTTTGCCCTCTCCAGCCTCACTTTTCCCCCTCGTTCAGCCTTGCCGCTCCTCCTTAGCCTCTGTTTCTTTCCACTTACCTGCTACTCCCTTGCACTCTTCTGCTTCTTACACTGCTCCCCTTCTCACCTGAAACTCGTTTTCCGCAGATCTCCAATCCTCCCTCCGCTTTGTGCATCTTCTTTCCTTCAACCGGGCATTGTCTCCCACTGTCTTTCTGTTCGTCTGCTCATGTCCCGCCCCCTCTCTCCCCCTCCCCTCTCGCTCCCCCCCCACAGTGTGTTTGAGAATGCAGGCTAACAAGGAGAACAAAGACTTCCAGGTTCGCTCCTTCCTCCTCCCTGCCTTCCCCCAGGCCTGAACCCCCAAACTCCTCGTCCTGTCCTGACCTCTTCTTCCCACGTGCTCCTCCTACTTTCCTCCTACTTCCCATGTCCACAATGAGATTCGATTCTAAGCTCACCGCTTCGTGTGCTGATTCGCTTGACACATCTGTGTTTCATGCACCGACTTAGAAGTTACGCCGGTATTAGGTTTACGCTTTCGTTGTGTAACTTTCCCCCACCACTCTTCTGCTCCCACCCTGCTGTCCACCCACCCCTCAACTCCTCCACCCCTCCCTCCTACTTTCTGTTCTGCCTGTAACAGGAGCTGCCAAACGAGCGCGCATTTGCCGACTATGTCCTCTGTAGCCTTGTGCTGTACCTGGTCGTTATCAACTTTATTGGTTAACTTACCATATGACATCGCCACGACAACTGCTCTTCTTACAATATGTTTGTTTGAAGCACGCAGGCATTCTTTATACCTTACAGAGCCTTGGGTTATAATGCAACTCTACGGTATTTGCTTTGCACTTAGCAAGCTGATTATAAGGCAGTACCGTAAAATTTGCATTACAACATCCTGTAACGTGGAGTGGAGATTCAGAAGGGGTTTGTATAACTGGATCACTACCTTGGCCAGCTGCCAAAGGAGGTCTGCGCCAGGATGTGTGGAGACATAAGATGGATTGAGAAGTTTCCCGTCGCGGCAGCCACAAGGGATTTGCGTGCCAATGCATGCATGCTTGGTCAGTAATGTCCCTCCCCGTCCTGGTGGCTGTGCCATTCTCTTACCATCACCATGCAATGCTAAAAGAGGGGCAAAATGGGGAAGGGAAGTGGTTACCAAGGGGCTCAACTTATCAACCCAACCCTTTCATACACCGAAAAAAAACAGCATGGCCCAACACACACCTATCATGCCAGGCGTTACCGGTATTATACTGAATCACCTTCATTATAGTGCCACCATAGGCTGGGCAGCTATAGATGTTCTCACCCAATGCACCCCGTCCGTCCATGCCAAACTCCCAAACGAAAACTTTCCACTGCCCTTTTTCGGGGTCAGCTTCACTGAAAAAGTAATGCTCTGCCCGGGCAAGATCATAAACTGCTTCGGTGTAACCTCTACCGCTACGTTCGGCATGGAACCGAGCCGAAGCTTGTAAGTCCGGGCACGCCCAGCCACGCTAGTAACCCTCCTGGTTACGGTTACCACTGTAGACAACCGCGACACACAAATATTCGGCTGATTCAAATCCCACGCCTTGATTGGTGAAAGCGAAACGGATTTCCCCAACGTCTGTCGAGCTTTCACCATGTTCAGCCCGGCAAGAAAATTTGCATAGCCCACAAACCCAACGTCGTATACCAGCCCAGGGTTGAGAATTTTCGGGGCATTTACGTGCCCGGACCCATAATTCCAGGGTGTCCCTTTCGCTCCGGACGAATCCTCAATAAACCCGCCCTGCCGGTTCATTACTGTAGCAGTTGTCATTATCGCGGATTTAACCGCGGCAGGGCTCCATTTGGGGTATTTTTGAATTATAAGCGCTGCGATTCCGGCCAGTTGAGGTGTAGACATTGACGTGCCGCTTTTACTGGAGAACCAAGCTTGTCCATTAGTGCCCCCGGGAGCAGCAGCAAGGCGGGTGATCCCGGGGGCGGTGATGTCGGGCTTTAAGAGGTCGTTGGTGAGGGTGGGCGAGGAGGAAGGCGGCTTGTTGGGGTTTAAGGGAGGTCCGGCGGATGAGAAGGGGGCCATCATGGGGTCTGAGAGTTGAGTTGGCTGGGATGGGGGTGTGTGGGGGGAGGGGGGAAAGGAAACGGGGGGAAGGGAAGGGGGGGAGCTTTTAGGTGCCTCAATAGAAAGGCTCCGTGGAAGAGACGGGGGCCATCATGGGGCCTCAGAGCTGCCTTGGCTGGCGCGGGGTGGTGTGGGACGAGGGGGAGCGGGGAATGGGGGGAAAGGAAGTGGGGGAGCTTTTAGGCGCCTCAATCGAAAGGCTCCGTGGAAGAGACGTGGAAGAAAAGGGGGCCATCATGGGGTCTGAGAGCTGCCTTGGCTGGCAGAGGGAGGGGTGGGATGTGGGGAGCAGGCAGGGAAGGAGGGGAGGACAGGAGCGGCAGGGAGATACTGGAGGGTTGCGGGTTCTGAAGCGCCTGAAAATATGACTTTGAGTCGGCTCAAAAGTCATCTACTGGAGGGTGGCGGGTTTTGAGGTGTGGGTTTTGAGGCGCCTGAAAAGGGAGGCATGAGAGGAGGGGAGGGGAGGGGAGTGTGAAGAGGGTTTCGAATGGATTATGGAAGCAAGGGTGATGATGGGGTGTGAGGTATCATGTCCATCAACCGAAGGTGCACCTGATTACGAATCTCCTGAAGATTCACCTGATGCCTCACCTGAAGCTGTACCTTTTTATCCATCACCCAAAGACTCACTTGACCTGACCTCTAACCCGACAGAATGCCTGGCAATCACCTGAACACTCACCTGACTCTGCATCTGAAAATTCCCCTGATGCTTCCGGCAGGCCTCTCACCTGGACGGCTGTTGCAGCAGCAGGCAGCGAGGTTCCGTTGACTTGTATTGACTTTGCTGACTGTGCAGAGCGACCAAAGAAGCCCCAGTCGTCATCTGTTGAGCTGGGGTGTCAAGAGAAGTGGAAGTAGGAGTGGGGAAAGTAAGGATGACAGGGGAAGTGAGTGTGAGAGGGGAAGTGAGGGTGAGAGGGGAAGTGAGGATGAGAGGGGAAGTGAGGGTGAGAGGGGAAGTGAGGGTGAGAGGGGAAGTGAGGTGAGAGGGGAAGTAAGTGTGAGAGGGGAAGTGAGGGTGAGAGGGGAAGTGAGGATGAGAGGGGAAGTGAGGGTGAGAGGGGAAGTGAGGGTGAGAGGGGAAGTGAGGGTGAGAGGGGAAGTGAGGGTGAGAGGGGAAGTGAGGTGAGAGGGGAAGTGAGTGTGAGAGGGGAAGTGAGGGTGAGAGGGGAAGTGAGGATGAGAGGGGAAGTGAGGGTGAGAGGGGAAGTGAGGATGAGAGGGGAAGTGAGGATGAGAAAGGAAGTGAGGATGAGAGGGGAAGTGAGGGTGAGAGGGGAAGTGAGGATGAGAAAGGAAGTGAGGGTGAGAGGTGAAATGAGGGTGAGAGGTGAAATGAGGGTGAGAGGTGAAATGAGGGTGAGAGGTGAAATGAGGACGCGTCACCTCCCTCGATCGATCGTGCAAAATCGAGGAAGATCGATTGTCCACCGCACTGAACTCCCGCGTGTTGCATTTAAATTTGTTTGAAAACTTTTTGAGCCGAATAAAAAATCGATCCTGTGCAGGATCGATCGAGGTAGGTGACGCGTCCTGAGGGTGAGAGGGTGAGAAACAGTGTGCTACCCACCTGGCGGCAACAGTGAGATAGAAGGGAGCAGCGTTGCTGAGAGTGCGGAAGCCATAAGGCTTCTGAGCCATGGGGGGCGGTCCCTCGTTGCCCGCTGCCATGGCCAGGAACACACCCGCCTGCAAGCAGAAAGAGAGGGGCGACATGCGAGCATAAGAAACGGGTCTCTCTCTGCGACCTATCACTCCGCTGTAGGGGGCGGTCCCTCATTGCCCGCTGCCATGGCTAGGAACACCCCTGCCTGCATGCAGCAAGAGAGGGGCGGTTGCATGGGAGGGAAAACGTTATGGGACGTGTGCTCCATGGGCGCATAAGACACATTGCGATGAGACACAGACGAGATGACTTCACATTCACACCCTCTCACCTGATTCTTTCACATCACGAGTTATCCTCTCACACCCTCCCACACCCTCCCACACCCTCTCACACCCTCTCACGCCCTCTCACACCCTCTCACACCCTCTCACACCCTCCCACACCCTCTCACACCCTCTCAAACCCTCTCACACCCTCTCACATCCTCTCACACGCTCTCACACCCTCCCACACCCTCTCACACCCTCTCACACCCTCTCACACCCTCCCACACCCTCTCACACCCTCTCACACCCTCTCACACCCTCTCACACCCTCTCACACCCTCTCACACCCTCTCACACCCTCTCACACCCTCCCACACCCTCTCACACCCTCTCACACCCTCCCACACCCTCCCACACCCTCCCACACCCTCCCACATCCTCTCACAACCTCTCACACCCTCTCACACCCTCCCACACCCTCCCACACCCTCTCACACCCTTTTACACCCTCTTACTCACCTGCACCGCTCTCAGCAGAGGCAGGTCCCCAAAGTATGTATCCTCGCCCGACCCAATGCTCATGGAGAGCACATCCACACCGTCCGCGACGGCCTGATCAACGGCTGCAAAGATGTCGCAGTCGTGGCCGTACCCCTCTGACGCGTTGAACCAGATCGCCTTGTAGATAGCCAGCCTGCCACGTGGCGCCATGCCACTGGCTGGCCCCGCCGTCGATCCAAACTCGTCTGTGAGAACCACTCCTGCGTTACCTGCTGCCGCTCTGTGTTATTGGAAAGTAGAAGAGACCAGGGTGGAGGAGGAAGGGAAGGGCGGCGGAGGGAGAGAGGGGAGGCGGGGGCGGAAGGGGAGGCAGTGTGGACAATTCAAAACTCGTCAGTCAGAACCACCCTGGCGTTACCTGCTGCCGCTCTGTGCGGAGTGAAAGAGGAGGGGGAAAAGCGGGGGGTGGGGGTTGGATGGGTGTGTAATCAAACGCGGGGAAGTGGGTTGCAGGGGAGATGAGTGGAAAAAACGGGAAGGCAGGGGGGGCGGGGTAGGGGGAAGGGAGGGGTGGGTGTGGGTGAGCAGAGTGATATTCCCGCGGAGCCACGGCACCGCACCATACTCCGCCTCGTAGCCTTTGAGGATAACCAGGTAGTTCTATCGTAAGCATATTTTTTTTGAGACGTCTCAAAAACCATTTTCCGCCCTGTGGCCCTTGAGGAAGAAGCTTTTGAGTCGACTCAAAAACTTGCGCCCCGTGGCCCTTGAGGAAGAAGCTTTTGAGCCGACTCAAAAACTTGCGCCCCGTGGCCCTTGAGGAAGAAGCTTTTGAGTCGACTCATAAACTTGCGCCCCGTTTCCCTTGAGGAAGAAGCTTTTGAGTCGACTCAAAAACTTGCGCCCCGTGGCCCTTGAGGAAGAAGCTTTTGAGTCGACTCAAAAACTTGCGCCCCGTGGCCCTTGAGGAAGAAGCTTTTGAGTCGACTCAAAAACTTGCGCCCCGTGGCCCTTGAGGAAGAAGCTTTTGAGTCCACTCAAAAACTTGCGCCCCGTGGCCCTTGAGGAAGAAGCTTTTGAGTCGACTCAAAAACTTGCGCCCCGTGGCCCTTGAGGAAGAAGCTTTTGAGTCGACTCAAAAACTTGCGCCCCGTGGCCCTTGAGGAAGAAGCACACACACCCCACGCCCCACCCCGTAGGACCCACCCCGCACACCATGTTCCCCATCCCCCTCCCCCATCCCCACGCGCATTGCTTACCCCGCACACCACATGCCCGGGCCACCAGCATCCCTGGCGGAGGTGACTTTTGAGTCGAATCAAAAGTCACCTCACCCCGCACACCACATGCCCGAGCCACCAGCATCCCTGGCAGAGCGGTACTCCCCTCCCCCGGGGCCAGCTTGCCATGCTCCGCCCCATACCCCTTGAGGAAGCACCGTGCGCCGATGAGCATGTGACCTCTTCCCTTTCTTTCTTTTCCCCACTGTGACTCACCCCGCACACCAAGTGCATCCTCCCCCCCCTCTTCCACAACTCACCCCGCACACCACGTGCCATGATGACCACCGGCATCACGTGCAGAGCGGAACTCCCCCCGAGCCAGTTTGCCATACTCTGCCTCGTACCCCTTGAGGAAGTACCGTGCGCCGATCAGCTTGCGGGAGTACAGTGCGCGTCTTCGTCGTACCCCTTGAGGATGACGCACACCTATCAACACATGTCCCATTTCTTCCCGCAATTATGTATCCCACCAACCCACCAACCATGACTCACCCCGCACACCACGTGCCGTGCCCACCAGCATCACGTGCAGAGCGGAACTCCCCCTGGGCCAGCTTGCCATACTCCGCCTCGTACCCCTTGAGGAAGTATCGAGCGCCTATCAGCTTTCGGTTGCACCTGCTCAGCCCCGTGCACGCCCCCCTCCACCGCTTGGGCACTGGTTTATAGCCCTGCCAGAGATAGGCGCACGAAATAGGGGCGGGAAATAGGGGAGGAGGAACGAAGCGCACGCCTATCAGCTTGCGGTTGCACCTGCTCAGCCCCGTGCACGCCCCCCTCCACCGCTGGGGCACTGGTTTATAGCCCTGCCAGAGATAGGCGCACGAAATAGGGGCGGGAAATAGGGGAGGAGGAACGAAGCGCACGCCTATCAGCTTGCGGTTGCACCTGCTCAGCCCCGTGCACGCCCCCCTCCACCGCTTGGGCACTGGTTTATAGCCCTGCGGATTTGGTGGGCGGGAAGGGGGGCGAAGAAAGGGGGAGAGGAGGGGGAGGCAGGGACAAGGGAAGGAGGGGAGGAGTGTTGAACTGAACTTGCTCAGTCCGCATTCGCCCCCCTCCACCGCTTGGGCACTGGCCTGTAACCCTGCAAGATGAGGGGGAAGAAAGGGGGAGAGGTTGAGTGGGAGAGATAAGAGAAGGAAGAAAGGGGTGGGGCTGTGTGGTTGCACTTGCTCATACATCCATACACATGCGCACACACACACACACACACACACACACACACACACACACACACACACACACACACACGCCCTCCCCAGCTCGCTCCTGTCCGCCCACACCCACACACTCCCCCCCCCACACACACACACACATTTCTCTTCATTTACACACTCACCTTGTCCGAGAAAGAAGGGTCCAGATCCCCGAGTCCAGCACGCCAATAATCACGCCCTCCCCTGCCCGCCCCTGCCCGCCAACACTAACCCACATACTTCCAAGCATCATCTACTTGCTTGCCCACTCACTTACCAGTCACACACATCTCTCACCTTGTCCGAGAAAGAAGGGTGTTCCGGCCAGATCCCCGAGTCCAGCACGCCAATAATCACGTCCTCCCCCGCTCGCACCTGCCCGCTCTTGCCCGCACACGCCCCCCTACATACACACACACATCTCTCACCTTGTCTGAGAAGGAAGGGTGTTCCGGCCAAATCCCCGAGTCCAGCACGCCAATAATCACATCCTCCCCTGCTCGCCCCTGCCCGCCCACACCCCCCCACGTCTTCCCCAGCTTCATGTACTTGGGCGTGTATGTCGTGAAAACACGCACCTTCCCCTTCGCCCTCACCACCTGCCCCACCCCCTGCCGCTTTCTCAACTCCTCCGCCTGCTGTGCTGTCAAAGATGCACAGACGGCATTCGCTGTGACTCCGTAGCTGTAAACTAGGCTCGATTCCGAGGCTCCCACCGAGGCTAGGGCAGACCTGTGTGTGCTGAGCAGATGCTCCTGGTAGGCTTTTACCCCGGGGGAATCGGCTAAAGGTCGGATAGGTTTCCTTTCTCCGCTTCCTCCCCCGCTGCTCCAGTAACTGCTGCTGCTGCCTGCGCCTGCTGCCCCCGGGTACACCGTACTCGCGCTGCTTGCTCTGGGTGTGCTTATATCGAGTCTGCTGCCTGCACCGCGTTCAGAAGCGCGTTTTACAGCCTTGGATGCGGCTTTTGAATCAGCGGAATGTTTAGCAGCAGCAGAACCACCACCACCACCAACCCCACCACGAGCAGCAGAAGAAGCGGCAGCAGAACCAGCGGCCGTGGGTTTAAGTCCTGGGATTCCCCCAGTGTAGGCCACTACTGGTGGTGCTGATGTCATATGCACCAGGTACAGCTTTCTTTGCTCTGTTGAAACGCCTTGCACTGCATGGCGAGGGGGAGGGGAGAGGGGGAAGGGAAGGGGCTAACGTTATGTGCATGGCTGATGCGTCGGCCAGCCACCACTGGTGGTGCTGGTGCTGCTGGTGCTGCTGGTGGTGCTGGTGGTGCTGGTGCTGCTGGTGCTGCTGGTGCTGCTGGTGCTGCTGGTGGTGCTGGTGGTGCTGGTGCTGCTGGTGCTGCTGGTGCTGCTGGTGGTGCTGGTGCTGCTGCTGGTGCTGCTGGTGCTGCTGGTGGTGCTGGTGCTGCTGGTGGTGCTGGTGGTGCTGGTGGTGCTGGTGGTGCTGGTGCTGGTGGCTGGTGGTGTTGGTGCTGCTGGTGCTGCTGGTGCTGCCGGTGCTGGTGGTGCTGGTGCTGCTGGTGGTGCTGGTGCTGCTGGTGGTGCTGGTGGTGCTGGTGCTGCTGGTGCTGCTGGTGGTGCTGGTGCTGCTGGTGGTGCTGATGGTGCTGGTGCTGCTGATGTCATGTGCACCAGGTACAGCTTTCTTTGCTCTGTTGAAGAGCCTCGCACTGCATGGAGGGGAAGGGGGTCGGAGAAGAGAAGGGATGATGCGATTCACAACCAACCACCACTGGGTTGATATTTGAGTCGACTCAAAAATCGACTCAGCACACTGGTGGTGGTGCTGAGGTCATGCGCTCCGGGCCGGGGTACTGCTTTCTTTGCTCTATTGACGAGCCTTGCACTGCATGGCAAGGGGTAGGGGGGCGGAGAAGAGATGGGATGATGATGTGGTTCACAACCACTACTGGTGGTGGTGCGGAGGTCATGGGCACGAGGCGGAGGCGCCATTCAATGGGGGGAAATCCCCGCACTGCAAGGCAGGACGAAATGGCAGAGAAGGGGGAGGGGAAGACTGACTGACGTCATGTGTGCAACCGCCACTGGAGGTGCTGAGGTCATGGGCACTAGGTAGAGGAGCCGCTTATCTGTGGAAGACCCTTGCACTGCATGGAGGGGAATGGGGTCGGAGAAGGGAAGGGATGACGCGGTTCACAACCCCTACTGGTGGTGCTGAGGTCTGGGGCACTGAGGTCTGAGGTATAGCTTCCGTTCTTCTGTTGACGAGCCTTACACTGCTCGGCAGAGGGGGCTGATTGGGGAGGAGGGGAAAAGAGGGGGGAATGTGGAGAGGGGTGTTGGAGAGTTGTAAAGAGCTGATGCGGCCCAAGTGGTGTGCTGACGTCATGTGGATGGGAGAGGAGGAATTGGGAACTGTTACTGACTCGTTCAGGGGTGTATAGGAAGGAAAGGGATGGGAAGACAGGGAAAGGGGGGGGGGGGGGGGGGGGGATACAATGGAAGCGGGGGAAGGAGAGAAGGGAAGGAGGTTATGAGGGAGGTGCGAGCCTGAGAAAGGTCGAGACTGAACAGGTACGAGATTAGTGAGCAGACTTACCTAAGGAGGAGCTTATTCAAATAATCAAAAGTCAGATGAGTGCGCAGACTTACCTGTGGAAGAGCGTATAACGAGGATGAAGAACGACGCCCAGTGGTGCATCCTAAAGTGCACCTTCCGACGCCCTTTTGAGTTCGTCTTCGAGTTCAGTACCGAGTTCGTATTTGGTTGCACCTTCGAGTGGATCATCTTACTGTAGAGCATCCCTACAAGCAAGTTCCGTTGTTGCCGCTGGTGCTGCTTTGTTACTGGCCAGCCGTTGTTCTGAGGCGCGTCAAAACCAATCACGAGGGTACGCCGAGCGTGTGTGACACGTAATCGCTTTCTCCTATCGCATCAAAGGAGAAAAAAAACAGCGGTCTGGCTTAATGCCGCGCGAGCGATCAACCAGTAGGGCTGACGCTGCTGAATGTTCTTTATCTCACGCATTACCACTCCACGCTCGATATTAATCACACCGCATCGCGCTATGTTGAATTGCACCGCCCCAAGTCGCACTGCATTCTGCGTCCATAAGCAGCTGAGCAAAAGGCAGCCATGTCCAACCAACTGCTACGTGGAGGAGACAACGGTGTGTGTGCAGTGCAGTACAATATTGAGCCTAGTGCTGAGCAAAAAGCAGCCATGTCCAACACCCTGGTTTGGAGCAGGGCTGACGATTCAAGGGCATTCGCCCTTAATGCCCTGAACATTCCGGGCGAACTCCAGGCCAGCTTCGGCATTTCGAAGGGCTGGTTTCGAGGGGAGCCCGTTTTTCTTACGGGCTGATTTCGAGAAATTGGGGTATCAGCTCGGATCAGTTAAGGGCTGGTTTGGGGCCCTTCCCTGAAATCCCGGATCAGGAGTACAAGCAACCCTGCGATTTTCCTAAGTTGCCACTCTTCTCCTCCCGTAATTATCCCTGAAGCTCCCACATTCTATCTAGTTTGGTATGATAGGACTTTCTAGTGTTGATGTTTATGGCTGTGGTTGCAAAATATTTCTAAGGCAGTCTTCACTCCTCACAGTTCTTAAGTACTCACGCTGGACTCGAGACACTGACACCCTTACGTGGCGAAGAGGGACTCAGCCCCATCGGTTCACACTAAAGTTACTACATGAGAACGAACCTCCTCGGAAGTGCTTTGCGAATGTACACAAGAATTCAAACGACTTCTTTGCTGACGATGTTTTGCCCTACGAGCCCCCTCCTCCCCTCCCCCACCCCTCTTCCCCCACCCCCTGCTGTAGGTTTGCAGATGGGTTGTTAGCAAGCTCCTTCCCGCTGCTAAGAAATATTTGACATCCGCCTTTGTGAGTTAGGGCAAACGTACATTTTTTTAAAGAAGCCCGGATTTTAAGTTTTGAATTTGACCTGCACCCGTGATCGTTAAGGGCTAAAATCCGGTCACCATCGCGAAAATCAGAGCCAAACTTCGAGCAGCTCAGGACTCGAAGTGTTGGCCCCAGGGACTTCGACAGGCCTGGTTTGGAGCATAGTACTCGGCTCGGCAAGTTCGAGAAATGCTGGTCAACAATTCATGTCCATCGCCAACCGTACCGTAAACCTGGATATAACATATACAGCCCCCTCTCATCCCGTCAAAACCGAACTTGAGCAAGGTCGAGCATGATCTCCCGCTACAGCACCGCGTCTTGGGTTCACGGCACGCCGTGTTGCACGAGACAAAATGTGATACGAGTACCGAGGAGGCGAGTAACGAGAGCAGGGAGAACAATTTCAACCACCGAGTGACCCACGTCATTCCCGGTCACGAGTCACGATGAATAGTTTCGCCCCATTAGCAATGGCAACCAGCTTAGCCATATACGTGTCAAGTGTAAAATAATTGCAAATTGGCATTACAACATTAAGAGTTGCTTATGAATCAGCGTTCACAGACATCAAGTTGCACAAGGCCCAAAATGGGGATCTCTGCAAAGCATGCAGCAGAGAAAGATATCTCTACAAAAAGAAACTACACAACTAGCAATAAATACATCGGCTGTTCTGTACAGGGCAAAGACCCTGGTAAACAAAGAGTGACAGCAGCACACAAACGCATGGGCGTTCCTGCAATTATACAAAGCAACAGGCCGCATACCCAGTGCCCACTCATCCCACATCCTTTTCCCAGCAGCCCACCACCCACACAATTAACCCCTTCCAATCCAACCCAGACATAGAAGCAACCTCCCCATCATGCAGCATCCATCCAGGGTCAGGCAAGCCTTTGAACTCCCACCTCTCCTTCCCATCAAGCCATGGCACCTTGCCATCCAGCTTCAACACCAACCACACATTCCTCCATCCCCAACAAGCTGGCCTGGTCCCAAACCAGGCAAGCGACCCCTGTACCCCCAACCTCTCTTCACCCATCCACTCATTCCTTCTCCCCCTTGCCCATGGTCCCCACGCCCTTGGCAAAGTCCTCCAGATTCTCCAGCAGATGCACAATCTCAGGCATGCTGGGCCGGTCCGACGCCACACGCGCTGTGCACAGCAGCCCCAGCTTCACCGCGCCCAGAATCTGGTCAATCTCCCCAGGCTCCAGCTCCATCCGAGGGTCCACAATCGCCGCCGCGCCGTTCGCCTCCGCCCACCTGGCAAGCCCACGTTCCGCCACGTCCTCATCCGTTGGCTGCTTGCCGGTGATCAGCTGCAGCAGCATGACTCCATACGCGAACACATCACTCTTGAAGGAAAGCCGGCCCTGGCGGGTATACTCGGGCGCAAGATACCCGATGGTTCCAAACACCTTAGTCGACATATGCGACTGTTTCACATCAATCTCCCTGGCAAGCCCGAAATCAGCAACATGAGCAACCATCTGGTCATCGAGCAGCACATTCCCGGGCTTCATATCACGGTGAATAATCCTGGGCGTGCAGTCGTGGTGCAGGTACTTCATTCCACGCGCCGTATCCAGCGCCACATTCCTCCTCACAGACCACTTGCAGAAGGGAGAATCTTTCGGAAGCTCCTTCATGAAGATCGTATCCACACTGCCGCCCGAAAGGAAGTCGTAGATGAGCAGACGCTCCGTGGACTGGCCAGGGGCGATGTAGGCGGCAACGAGGACGACCAGGTTGCGGTGGCGGATGTTGCCAAGGGTCTCCATTTCTGCTTGGAACTCGCGGTTTCCCTGCGTGCTCTGCGCTGCCAGCCTCTTGATAGCCACCGACCGACCGTCCTGAAGGGACGCCCTGTTGGCAAATATAGAAGAGGGGTGAGGGAGATGTGGAAAAGGGAAGGTGGAAGTGAGCATGAGGAGGGGGACTGGAAGCAAGTGTGCTGAATGGAAGTTTGTGGCCAAAGAGGGGGAACGGAAGAAAAGCAAAGGATGTGTGAAGAACAATACCAACTTCTACTTTAGCATCTTCCACCAGCACCCACCAGCACCCACCAGCACACCCTCCAAACAACAGCACACCCTCCAAACACCAGCACACCCTCCAAACAAAAGCACACCCTCCAAACACCAGCACACCCTCCAAACACCAGCACACCCACCAGCACACCACCACAACTTACACCACCACCAAAGCCAACGTACTTGTACACGGTACCGAAGCCTCCTCGGCCGAGCTTGTACTTGTCGCTGAAGAACTCCGTTGCCTCCAGGATGTGCCCCACCGTGAGCTTGAAGTCCAGCTTCTCAAACACCAGCATCGTGCCGCCCGACCACGGGTCGTTGCGCCGCGAGAACCACCACGCAGCCACCGCGATCAGCACGAGCCCGACTACTGCTCCCACCACAATCCCCGCAATCGCGCCCGCGGATAGGCTGCTCGGGGTCGGGCAGTCCGGGTACCCGGGCATTCCGCACAGACCCTGGTTCCCGCTGATCGTCGCGGGATCCGCGGATGCGAAGTAGCCGGAGCTGCCGCCGGGGATCGCGCCGGACAGTTCGTTCTGAGAGACGTCCAGGTAGAACGACGATGACGCGTTGGCGAATCCGTACGGGATAGGCCCCGTGAAATCATTGTTTGATAAGTCCAGGGAAGTGAGGAACGCCAGATGGCGCGAGGACGGCTGCGGAGCGATCTCTGGCGGAATGGTTCCCGAAAGCTGGTTACCCTCCATATCAATGGAAGTGGCCGCCGTGAGGTTACCGATCTGAGGAGGTAACTGGCCGTACAGCTGGTTACCAGACAGGTCGAGCTTTCGCAGGTTGACGAGATCGCCGAGGGTGGACGGGACCGGTCCTTGAAAGCGGGAGTTGGATAGATCGAGGGCGGAGATGTAGACGAAATTGTTTATCGCTTCTGGGAGATTGCCGGAGAGGGACGTGCTGGAAAGGTTCACTTGAATCACGCTGTAACCGCCTCCCATGTTCGTGAACCCTTCGTTAAGATCGCCGGTGATTTCGAGACCCGAGAGGTCCAGATCCTCCAATCCCGAGCAGTTCCCGAGCAGGTTCGGCAGCTTGCCAGTGAACTGGTTGAGCCCGAGGCGCAGCGAGTGGAGGAGGAAGTTACCGTCGCCGAGGCAGCTGGTAGGCACGGGAACATCCCCTGTGAAGGAATTGTTTGTCAGATCCAGAACAGCCAATGACTGGCTCTGAGCAATCCCAGGGGGAACAGGTCCGGAAAATCGGTTGTGGCTGAGATCGATTTGGCTCATGTTGCAGTTCTCCAGGAATCGCTCCGGAAGCACGCCGGACATGCGATTCGTTGACACGTTGAGGGCCGTCGGAAGCATGTTGGCGAGTGTCCCGGTGCACTGCATCAACGGCAGGGTGCCCGTGAGCTGGTTGCTGTCCGCGTCGAACTGCACCAGCGTCGGAATCAGGAAGATCTGTGGTGGGATTTCGCCGGTGAGCTGGTTCTGGGAGAGAACGATGTTCTGGATGTACGAGGAGGCAGGAACAGTTCCCAGGAACTTCCCAACGTCGCCGACAAGATTGTTCCTCTCGAGATAAAGCATGGAAAGAGCCGCGCAGTTCGAGAGATCCCAGTCGTCCAATTTACCGCCGGTGAAGATATTTGAAAAATCCATGGAAGTGACATTCGTGCACATCGCCTGCACGATGCTCACGGGCAGCTGCCCGAACTTGCCCGCCTCGTGAAGCCCGAAATAGTACCCCTTAAAATCCTTCCATGCGGGAGGAAAGACACCCGAGAAATTGTTGAAACCAAGGTCGATGTACGATGCGATGTCCTTCAACCACACGGGCAGCGGCCCCGAAAGCTGATTGTAGTTAACCTCCAAAGATAAAAGCTTCTTGCAGTTGGCCAACGAATCCGGAATCCCCCCCGTGAGCGAGTTCACACGAAGACTGAGCGTCTCAAGGCTCTTCATCTGCCCCAAAGACTCCGGGATCCGTCCGCTCAGCCCGTTCAGACCCAAATTCACCGTGGCGAGGTTTTTCAAGTTACCGAGACCGCTGGGGATACTGCCCGTTATGTAATTCTGGGTAAGATCCAGTGAGGTGAGGTCGGTAAGAGCGGAGATGCCCTCGGGAATGGATCCCACCAACCGGTTGTAACTAAGCGTAAGCGTCTGCAGTTTCGCCAGCTTGCTGATCTCCTTAGGAATCTCCCCGATAAGAGACGTCAGGCGGTTCTGTGTTCCGGAGATGTCGAGAAGGATAAGCGAAGTCAGGTTGCCGATTTCCGGTGGAATACTGTTCATGGCGACACTGGGAACTCCCGCCAGGCCGGACCCCGCAAGATTTAGCTCGGTAACGGAACCCTTGTTGCACTTGACTCCCCACCACTTTCCGCAGATGAAATTGTTACGGCGCTGTGCCGGAGCAGTAGGGACGATCCAGCTCTTCAGTTTGTAATACGCGTCGATGTTGCTGTTCTTGAGAGCAAGGAGGGCGTTAACTTCTACCCAGTTGGTCGGAATCGGCGCAGGTGCTTTGGGGGGTGGCTTCGCGACAACAGCCCTGGCACCTGCCATGGCAAATAATAACAGAACAAATACACGAGCGAGGAACGGAAATGAGTTAGTCTGCGATAGAGTGGAAACGGAGGACTGACCAAGAAACGGGAGACACGAGGCGAGCGGACTAAAACGGCGAGAAGAAATATACTTGAAACAGCAGGGGGAAGCGGCAAAGGCTTCAAGGCCGACGGATAATAGAAGGGCCAAGAGGTAGGACACACGTGAGACCCACATAGTGACGAGCGGAAGAAAGTAGACGACGGAAGGAACAAGGCGAGAACAAACACCTACCCCATCCCTGCAGCTTCCGACGGTCACCGACGCTCTCCAACTCCACCTCCTCCTCTGTACCGACCACAAGCCCGCCAGCCCCGCGTGCAACGCCAACAAACCCAGCGACTCCACCGGAAGCGGCGGCGGCGGACGCGACGGAAACGGCGCAGGATGAACGCTCGAGCGAGCCGCAGGAAGCGGTTTCAAGGTTGAAGTAGGTGCCGTCGGGGCAGGTGTTCATGGAGGCCAGCTGCTGCCGCCGGCACACCAAGTAAGCGCTATAGAGAGGGGAGAGGAGACGAAGGGAGAGATACGGAAAAGAGCAGAAATATACAACGGAGAGAAGAAGAGAGGACTACAAATATTTTCGAATATAGTGGAAAGTGAAACAGTAACTAGTTCAGAGAGTGCACCTGGCTGACGCGGCACATGTGTCAATATGACTTCTCGCTAAGAAAGAGTAGCTACGAAGTGAAGGCACTGAAACAAACAGTTCCTTGCAGTTCACATCGACCGATAAAATAAGTGCTACAAGAAATACGTATGTGAATCAAGTCCTAACAACGGTCCCAAGGGAGGGTCCAACTTCCATGTCGACTGCGACTGTTGTACGTGATTGCTCGATTAAACAACGATCAAACTTCAGGCACGCAGTGCTGGGTGCTGCAGTTCATTTGCGTAAACGAACTTCATCGGGCTGACGCTACCGCGAGAGGGGTAATACCTGCATGGAGGGTCAGCGGTAGCGTCGGCGTAGACGCCGTCGGCCTTTCCGTGGCAGAAGTGGCATCGAGGAACGGTGAACTGCATATTGAAGCATTGTGGAGGAGCAAGTGCGGGAAAACGGTTACTAAGAAATAAATGTCACCTTGTCGAAATAACGCGGAGCAACGCCTGAGAAGAGGGAATGGAACGACTGATGAATGAAGGTTGTCTATGGAACCCGAAAGGAGTAGAAAATCTACAGCAGACGGTGTTACTAGAGCAACGAATTGCGGGAGAGCCCCGAGAACGACGACCAGAAAATGGTTAAGGCGTGGTCGTAGTGACTACTTACGCTCGGTCGATGGCAGAAGTTGCTAGCAGAGGATGGTTTACGAGGCGCACGCGGCCGCGAAGACATGCTCATCCTCATGGCATGCCTCTCTTTCAGCTTCGGAATCATGTGTCTGGGAACGCTTGGGTGCCATCGCGAAAGCTCGAGGTCGTCGACTATACCGTATGCGACGGCTACTAGGAGGCAGCTAACTGAGAGAAGCAGCACGCTTTGGGGTCTTAACCGACCCATGAGCCTAGTCGGTAACAGAATTGGAGAGTCAGATTTGTGAAACGAAAACGAACAGCTAACCTAGTAGATTAAGAAATCGTCTATGAACAATACTAGGGAGAGTGGCGTGCTGCGATGTGCTTACACAAAAATATATTGCTGCTCAACCGCGACGGCAACCCTCACACTGCAAGGAGAAATGAGAGTGAAGTGATGAAGAGAAGAGAAAGACAAGGAGCAAGGAAAGCGAGGCAGGAAAGCAAACACGAAACATGTCTGGCGGCGAGTAGTCTCAGTCCAGCAGGGATAGAGGGTTTCAGGGAGACGTCAGGTTGTACATTTCTCAGCACCTTTGCAGTTCTTGTATCGTGGCTGAGGACAGTTCCACACGGTGGGAAGCGGTTCTCAAGCTTTACCGTTTTGCACCGTGAAGAAACGGAGTTGAGCGTACAGTTGTACAACCTGACGTCGCCCTCAGCACTGGCGGAACAGTTGAGCCGTGTGTGTCTGGCCATGCCGAGCGGGATTTTGTTGGAGGGAGGGGGGGGGGAGAGGGGGGGGATAGAATGGAGGTTGGTTCCGCCGACGCAAGTTCTGCCAGTACTAGGTCCCCTGAGCGCGCGTTCCGCCCGTATCTCCAGTTCCGCCTGCCCATCCGCGCAGTGCACCTCCACATCGAAGGCCTGGTGTGTCGTGCTGCACAGACGCGAGAAGCTAGCGACGGGCAGCTGTTATCCAAAATATCTCGTTACTTGGCTGGCTGGTTGATCTGTTTCCAAAGCGCAACTCACGGTTCTGTTTGGTCCAGAGTGGTAAGAGATATCCACGCTAAATTTGGGAAACTCCGAACTTCCTGACGAGCAGGGCTTGGACGGTCTGTTCCCAAAAGCGAAGGATCTTCAAAACCATCAACAAGGTGCAGAAATTCGTGGACTGTTGCTGGAGGTGAAATGTCGGCGACAGAAAAACATTTCGCTTGGTCAGGTGATTTCTGGCAGCAAGCAGGTTATGCACAATACAGTAATCTGCACGGTCTCGTGGCAGGGCGGAAGGGAGGCTAGGGTGGCGGAGCTTCAACCAGGTTAGCGCTGCTGTTGCTCCGCCGTAACCTGCTCATCAGATCCATCTGCGCGCTAAACGCCAGAAAGGCCCACAGATTCTACATCCCCGTACCCACCCCTCACACCAAGCCCCTCTGCAGACTGTGAAACCGTCGAAAACGGTGGAATGGGTTGTTGTGCTATGTAGTGACACCGTTATGAGCGACTCGTCAAACAACTTGTTACACTTCATAAGTAAACATACAGCAACCAGTTCGATTCGATAGTTCAATATTAGATTATCATCTTGTTTTCCTCCAACATCCTTCTATTATCTTTCAAACAAGGCTTCACATTCAATTTCTCCATATCAAAGGGGGGCTAGAGTTCCAGTGTTTTACTTTCAGTATATTTATTATTGCTCTTTAAAGGTCGTTACACCTTCATTCTTGCGACACTGACAATCGCCACATGAACATGCCAGCCACAATGACATCGATGCGTCCAAAATGGTCCAAGAGCATACCATGTAAGCACATTTGCCGTACTCAATCTCATACAAAAGCAATTTTACTTTTATATACCGTTTTACACCGTTCTCTATAGAGTGCATTGTCAGAACTATGCATTTATATGCTCTAGGCTGTAGTGGGGCACTTCTAATGGGGTACAGCCCAATTAGGTTTAGCTATACAAACTGTGTACTGTTGCTGTTTTTAAGGAAAATCTCTTTCGCATCCCTGTTCAACGCGTACATCACTATAGCACCACAGTCAGCACCGTTACCACTCGCAATCATCGCATCGACAATCCGCCCGCCACCTTCGCACGTCGCACCCCGACCTCACGGCTCGGCGGGTAACCCGCGCTCCGGGCCTCCGCTTCGACACTTTTCCCAACCTCAGTCCCAGGCCCGTAGCGCGACAACCACTGTCCATTACCGTTACCATTGTAGTTTCGCTATATATTCTTCGCTCATGCCTTCGCTCATTGTACTCTTGCTTCGATAGTGCAATTTTCGTTCGTTCACTCAATTGCACTCGTAACTGCTGCCACCGACACCTCCACCCCCGCCACCACTCCCACCACCACCCCCACCCCCTCCACTGCCTCTACCACCACCTCCACCGCCCCCACTAGCCCCCCCAGCGCCCTTGCCCCCCTTGCCCTTGCCGGTGCGGCGTTTCCCGCTAGGGGCAGACGCAGCGCCAACCGACTCGAAGCCAACGAGGTCGGCCGCAGCAGCAGAAGCAACAGAGGGCAAGAGGGGGGAGGGAGAACACCCCTCAAAGACGGGGGTGCGAGGGTCACCACGAGAGGCTCCTACAGCGACTATGCTCTTCTCTGCTGCTAGGAGGCGCTCCTCGAGGAGGTCAACGGTGAGTGTGGTGGGGCAAACTGAGAGGAAGTGGTCCCTGACTAAGCGAAGGGAGTCAGGGAGCCGGGTGACTATGTAGTAGAGGGTGATGTACATGGGGGGGGGGGTTCTTCGCGCAGAACTCAGCAGGAAGTGCAGCGCGGTAGCGAGTGTCACTAGTGCGAAGGTGCGTAATGAGGTCAGCGACTGTGGGAAAGGCAGCAAGGTCAGGGAACAGGTACGGTAGCATGAGGCGGCTAAGCGCAGCAGTGGCAGGGGAAGAGTAGCGTGCAACTACAGCGTCGTACAAGGTCTTAGCACTCTTGTACTGGCTAAAGTGCGCACGCTCAGTGGTCGGTAAGTGGCGACGCACAGGAAGACATGCAGCAGCATCGCGCGTGGCCCACTGGGAGCGAACAGTGTTGTCAGCAGTAGCAGGCGGGGCAGGAGAGACACTAGAGGTGAGATCGAACAGGGAGAGTCCGTCTCCCCTATCGCACTATAAGAACAGCTGGAGGTCATCGACCCAGACCTCAAAGTCAACAGCACGACCCTCAGTATCAAAGGTAAGGACACTGGGGGTAGCCATGACTGCAGTGGTCTAGTAGGGAGTGAGCTCACCAGTCCAAGGAAGTAGGGCCGGGGCGCGCCGGAAGGAACAGTGGCGGCTCGGCTGCTGGGCGGCTCGGCGGCTCGGCTGCTGGGCGGCTCGGCGGCTCGGCTGCTGGGCGGCACGGCGGCTCGGCGATGGGGCGGCTCGGCTGCTGGGCGGCTCGGCGGCTCGGTTGCTGGACGGCGCGGCGGCTCGGCGGCTCGGCTGCTGGGCGGCTCGACGGCTTGGCTCTCGGGCGCCTCGGCTGCTGGGCTGCTGGCGGCGTGGTGGCTTGGCTACTCAGCTGCTGGGCGGCTCAGCGGTGAAGGGGCCGGTAGAGGCGGCAACGGGGCCGTGAAGAGCGGCGACGGGGCCGCTAGGGGCGGCGACGGGGCCGTGAAGAGCGGCGACGGGGCCGCTAGGGGCGGCTACAGGGCCGCTAGGGTCGGTGACGGGGCTGCTTAGGGCGGCGAGGTGGCCGCGAAGGGGCGGCGACGGGGCCTCCAGGGGCGGCGACGGGGCCGCTAGGGGCGGCGACCGGGTCGCAAAGGGGCCGTAAGGGGCCTAGAGGAGGCGACGACGGGGCCACAAGGGGCGGCTACGGGGCCGTAAGGGGCGGCGACGGGGCCGCGAAGGGGCCGCTAGGGGCCTGGAGAGGCGGCGACGGGGCCTAGAGAGGCGGCGACGGGGCCGCGAAGGGGCCGTGAGGAGCCTAGAGGGGCGGCGACGAGGCCGCGAAGGGGGCCGCGAGGGGCCTAGAGGGGCGGCGACGGGGCCGCTAAGGGCGGCAACGGGGCCGCAAAGGGGCGGCGACGGGCCTAGAGGAGCGACGACGGGGCCGTGAGAGGGGCCGTGAGGGGCCGCGAAAGGGGCCGCAAAGGGGCCTGAGGAGGGCGCGACGGGCCGCTAAGGGCTAGGGACGCGACGGGAGGGAGGGCACACGGGGCGCGACTCGGGCAGGAGGGAAACGCGCTCCGGGCAGGAAAACAATTTCAGTGGTGGGCCCTAGGAAACGTTCCCACTAGGGAACCTGCTCTATACCATGTGAGAAATGAGGAATGATTGCATTGAGCAGCATGAGGAGTACAAGTAGGAAACCCTAAAGTGTTGTACCCCATATGAGCTACCCCACTACAGCCTACACAGACTATAGCATATAAGTTTGACAGTAACACTTGGTATTCAGAGCCTATGATCTCTTCTCGGACCGCACCCACACCTTCGCTTCCCCGCTATCTCATTTTTTGGGGGGGGTAGACGTCTCTGAGTGACACAGCACCGCCGCTCGTAGTGCTCTCTCGTAAGCACGCACGGCCACGACTGAGGCTCTCGCTGAGCTCGCCCGACACCCCCGCCATGGCTGAATTCACGCTCGCCACATTGACGCAGGAGCAGCTCGACCGTCTAGTGCGCCAACTCAAAGATTCGGCGCTCGAAATTGCGACGCACACAGCGGAACGTGACTCCGCGCATCAGCAATCAACGGTGAACACTCCAGCAGCACCACACGCACCAACAAATGCACCTGCACAATCGGACGAGCCAATCGTCATC